CCCCGCGCCCATGCGGCTTCGTTCTTCTCTCTCTCATCCACTCGTCTCTCACTTCCTACGCGTAACACGCGAGGCTCTCAAAACTGCCATGTGCTGTCGCTGGGTCAGGGCAGGCTCTGGCTCTGTCGTACATTCGCCCATGTTATATATTGCCAATGTCCTATATACTGCTTATGTAATCTAGCCAGCGCAGCAGAGTCGCTGCCTACTTTCGCTCGCGGATCAATTAGCCTAGTAGGATTTTTTAACGGCTGTCAACGAAATTCCTCCATTCTGATGTTGTCGTTTTTACTGCGGCTCCGTGAGCGGTGCGTGCCACAGGTTGCGTGGTGCTCGCAGCACGCCCCGAACCTCCAAAGCCCTTCTTGCCACGATACGAGGTCCGGGCCGCGATATATATTAACAAGACCAATATAAAGAAGCTTCCTTTTAAAGTGCTCTTGATGTAGTGCAATTTTCTATGGACCAGACAACGTGGCCGGAAGACGCGATACAGGAGGTTTCTTGTGGTGGCATGGGAACTGCGATGTGTCTAACGCATCGCGATAATGACGGAACATTCAAAACGTGCAGAACAGAAAAGCTCTCTTTAATAAGAGTAAACGATATTGATATTTAGCTCGTGATTATGAAGAAGATGAAATTCAATCAGGAGAGAATCGAAATTGGACGTTTCTGTCGTCGTCGTCGTTTATTCTCGCGTTCGCTCCTGTGTTACGGGAACCACCTGTGAACTATGGACGCAAACGCACGCACGCACACACGCAATACGAGCCTTATTTTCCGAGCCTTACGCGGCCATGCGTCGTTTGTAAGTTCACCATAACAGCGCTTGCTAAGCATGGGGCAGGTAGCCGTCGTTGTATTCATCAATACTGCCGCTTGCTAAGCCTCGATCCGCGCAGGTTGCGTCGAACTGTAGTTCACATACTGCCGCTGCTAAACTCGTGCAGGTGCGCGCTGTAGTTCACTATACTGCCGCTTGCTAACCTAGTGCAGCTGTCGTCGCTGTATCACTATATCTGCCGCTTGCTACCTCGTGGCAGGTGCCGTCGCCTGTACGTTCACTATACTGGCCGTCTTGCTAACTCGTGGCAGTGCGTCGCTGAGTATTAGCGTCTACTTTCGCGCCGCTTGCATAACCGCACGTGGCAGGCTGCATCGCGGTAGTTCCATACATTCTGTCGCTAGTTAACCTGTGGCGGTGCGTCCTGTAAGTTCGCCTGCTACCGCTTGCTAACCGCGCAGTGCGTCGCTGTAGTTCGCCTGCCACCGCTTGCTACACACCGCGCAGTGCGTCCGCGCTGTATTCATCATACTGCT